AATTAGTTTTTGAATAAAATAATATAATAGATTTAAGAATTATATATATATATATATATATATATATATATATAAAAGTTTATGCTAGATTCGGATTATCATATTTATATGTATATAAAAGCTTGGTTATCTATTTTTTGTAATATATAAATGTTTTAAGATCTTTTAAGACCTTAAAATTTTTAAGAACCTTGGTAATATTTAAGGTTCTTAAAAATTAATTATTAAAATTTTATGGGTAATAGGAATTCACATTAAAGTTTTATATTTAAATCTTTAACACATATTATCTAATTAATGAAACTACTTTAGATAATTATACATGTTTAGTTAAATATATTTGGAAGCTCATATTACACATGCTACAAAAGTATTCAAAGACCATGTTTTACATTTAATAGCAAGGTTTAATACAAAAAAAAAGAAAAAAAAGAAAAAAAAAGAGATAATTCTTTAGATTTTACATAAATACCTTAAAAATTGAGAACCACTTTCAGAAAATTTGTAACATTTTTGATAGCTTTTAGGTTTGTGAAAGATCTTAGGATTTCTACAAGAATGTAATTTTGATAGCTCCATTCATTTGCTGTTGAAATCTAGAAAGGCTTCGTATAAACTCATCTACCCAACTACCTCACAACCATGGAAGAGTCACCAATGGTATGACTACAACATTGAAGTTACATTCTTTTGAACTCAAAGCAGTTTTATCATTACTTGTGGTAATACAAAGAAAGGCCCTACTTCTATGAAGCAATTTCACTACAATAATTAATCCTCATATCTTTTGTTTTATTTTGAAATACTAAAAACAATAATAATGATAATGATAATAATAATAATAATAATAATAATAATAATATAAACTAATTTATTTTAATATGGTCTGTAATCTAATATTGTGGATTCTAATGAATTTATATATATATATATATATATATATATATATATATACATATTTTTTTTATACAAATATAATATTCTGGATTTGAATGATATTATGGGGGAAGAAATTAGAAACATGAAAGTAAAAGTATAAATTTTATCATAGGTAGGCAGAGATATAAACCAGATAGTTTCTCAATTTTAATACTTTTTAGCCAGGAATTTCATAAAGGTTTTTATCTGTGTTTTATGTCTGTTTGTGTATGTGTATATATATATATATATATATGTATGTATGTTTATTTATTTATTCCCAAAAATCATACATTTTTTATTTTGAAATGAAAAATTTGGGTAATGTTTAATTATCTTGTGAATAACAGTATTTCTACATATACAAGGCAAAGATCTTGGATCCTAATTGTTTTATATATGTTTATATAGCTTTGAATTTATTTATTGTTGTACAAGTCAAATTGTAGATATAATTCTGAAAACAGAAAGTAAAATATTAGTTGGTAAGCTGGGAAAAGAAATTCTATCGTCATATATCTTATTGAAGTTTTTGACCTCATAATCTTAATTTTATAACAGAAAGATGACAACTGAAAGATGGATGATGTACAACCTCTAAAATTTTATGACAGTATTTATTTTATTTTATTTTATTTTAAAATATTTAAGTTTGGTAATATTCAAGCTACCTTGTCAAAGTAATTATTAACACAACTCAATGCTTTACTATACAAATAATGAAGGTTTTCATAGAGGGTCAAAAATTAGAAGTAATAGTTCATTGTTTTAATATAGAGCAAGATAAAAAAAATAAAATAAATAAAATGTAGAAACCCCAAGTTCAAGTCATTATATCAATTAAAAGATGGGAAAATTTATTAACCTGATTCACTGAGACTTCAATTGGTTAACTTTATTTTTGATTCTTTATAATTTACTTGCAAGTCTAAAATTTTATTGACAAAATTTGTGAAGTCATGTTGGTAAAATATCCACATTAAATCACTCTGTTCACTGGTATCATTTTTATTCCAAAAACATTGCATTCTTATGAATGGTATTAGTTTAAAAGTCACTTATAATCATGCAATGACTAATTCAGTTTTCATTTTATCAAACTTTGAATTTTTACACCTACTTTTGTTTTTGTTAAGTCTAAAATTATATTTCATTACATTAAATTTGATGTTTTAAAATAGTTACTTTACAAATATTATAAGACTTAGTATCCAAAGTTTTTAGAGTGTAAGATGCTTGAGATTTGATTAGTAATTTATAATTAATTTTCTTAGTAGAGAATTTATTATTTCAAATCATACTTATGCTTTTCAAAAATAAAAATCATATATCTATTACATGAAACAATTGATGGGGACAAACCAAGGAGATAAACAAGAAGAGACAAAAACCATTTTTAATTGGTTGCATGCATTACTTAATCATCATTATTTTCATCAAAAGTTTTGTTTCATTGTTTTCATCAAAACTTAACTTGCCAATTTGAGGGCCTTGACATAGATGAGAATGTTTTGCTCATGCTACAAGACATTGTATGCATGTATGTGCATTTCTGCAAGACATCATGTGTATAAGGCCTCATATGTGTATTTTTTTGTGAAGTTTCTTTGCCTCATTGTTCATTGTCTGCTATTATGATAGGATTTTATTTTGGTGTGATTTGCAAGGTAGTTTGTTCTATAATGCAATTGTTCTATGAATCACCTCAATTGTCAAGAGCTTGGCAAGCTCTTCCTTTGTTCCAAATTACATGCAAGCTATGTAATCTACCATAGCTAAAGCACTTCCAAGCAATGACCAAGAATGCCAAAGAAGGACAATGCATTGACTACAAAGAAATGGCTTTCAAGATATGTATTTTTGGCTCATGTACAATAATGTACTAGAAGGACACACTTCTATTCTGCAATTAAGCCACAATTCTACAAAGGCTAGTGGTGGTTTAATTCACATAATAGGCCTATAGTGTCAACCATGACTATGGCTATTGAGAGAGGTGGAGCAACTCAGTTTGCACAAGTCAAGAACAGAGAAGAGAAGATCTATGTCACAATCCAAGCCAGGCCTCTTAGGGCAAAGGAGGTAGTGCATTCCATTGTTTTTGATTGAATGTGCACCAATAGCCAGACCATAGCATATAAACATGCGTCACTAGAGTGATCACCCTTTCTTAATACATATACATTTGGTGAGCTACAACTTAATCATTATAGGGATTCCATAATCATTATAATATTATTACCTTTTTCATGGCCAATGGCACTGGTTTCCACTAGTATGTATATATATATATATATATATATGAATTCAAGCTCCTTTGAGAACATTTTGGATTTTATGAAAATATCATTTGATGTTAAAATCATAGGAGCAATTAGTATATTCAAACCAATGCAAAGTAATGTTAATTGATAAAATGAAATGATAAAAAAATGCTAAGATGAAATTTTTAAAATTTAACATTGTTGATACATAAAAAATAAAAAATAAACAAAAAAAAGATATTCTATACATTAAAGTATTGAATAAATAAATTTAATGATTTGTTGAATAAAAAATACATCTGCACAATTGGATATGTAGTAAGAATATGTAAATATTGCTTTTGATAAAGCCTGTTATCTTTCTGCAAGGCAAGCGATATAAAACTCAACTTACAATATACACACATTACACTCTTAAAATATTAAAATATTAAGAAGCATTTAAGAATTTTGTTGACATTGCAGAACATGGTTGAGTTAAGAAATGTGTGGAAGAAAAGAAAAGAAAAGAAAAAAAAAAAAAAAAAAAAAAAAAAAAACACTTCCTTCAAAAGTCCATAAAAGCTTAGCTATTGAAAATAGTCCATCATTATGTCCAACACATGATACTTTAATTAACAAACATTTTGACTTGGAACCATTTTTTGGCTACAAATTTCACTAGACTACACTCAACAAATACTTAGGAGACTGTAACCCTACTATAAAATCGTCGAGCTTTATTTAAAATTGTGGTTTCTAATCGAAAGATAAACTCGCCATTGTCAAACGAGATCGTGGATTAAGCACTGATCAAAGCTAATTCATGAACCAGGTCACGAATTATGCTCTACACTGAGGCTTAATCACAAACCAGGGCATGAATTAGATCACAAATTAGGGTTTGAAGAAGCAGCTTCACCAGGGCTACGTAGCCGAGAACGACCTTGACGTGATGGACTCGCCATCGCCGAGTATTAGGATTGGAGATTGCGGGGGAGGATTCTTCGGAAACAGTGCTCGGTCGTGCTGCCGTTGGCGTAAAGCGAAGCGAAGCAGCATCGCAATCAGATGCTGTTTACGGTGTCCAAACAATCCGGCCCGGCGCTGTAGGAGTTGGATTCCCCTGCTTGGACCGTCAAGTTTGCGATCGCTGTTGCTACGGATGCTTAGGGTATTCTCTCGATGGTTTCGCATTTCTACGAGTGACGTTCAGCACTTTGTCGCCGTGCTTTATTACTACGATTTGCAGTTCATTCAGACTGTCTCCATTTCGCCAGTTTCTTCACTTGAGTATTGTTGAGATTGCCATTCCTCAACAGTTATCTAGTTCACTATTTGATGAGAACTTTGTAATGTGATGGTAGCCCTCCTGCTTCTGATGTTCAGTGTAACTTGGGTGCAATGTGGGTCATGTGAATTTGATAACTGTTGAGGAACGGCAACCTTGGCATGGGCTGACGGATGTGACTTTCGCCTTCTGGTTTTTTTCTCTTGAGAGCGTCTATCTTCAATCTTTGGGTTGATCACAATGTTGAAGAGAATGGGTGTTATGGGTATGAATCGATTGATCGTGTGGCTAACAATATCATAAGATATGGATGAGAGCAACAGAGCGTCCTGAGGAGTACTTACGTCTTCTTGTCCAATTATCATAACCCGGGGAAAGATCCTTGCGAAATTCTTAGATTACTTCAGTATCCGGGAATCTCATGAATTAGCTTCCCTAAATTGTCAATTGAAAAGAATATGTGAAGGAAAACGAGTAAACCAGGATATAGTGTTTCGGACAAAAACAAACAGTACAGAATGGGCCTTGAAACCATAAATCACCACAACTTGGAAAAAAAAAGATCTGGTTAGCAGAGAGATGAATCAATCACAATTAATGGTCGGTCCGAAAAATCAATCAATGCGTTGGAAATTTTCGAGATGTGCCGTCATGTACCCATCTTGAACAATCTAATGGAATGGCTTCAAAAGCCCAAGAATAATTGGAAAAATCTGGATCACCTTGACTTTGCATTTCTACAGCAGACCCAGGTAGCTCAGCCTTACAGAAATGATAAAAACTTAGCTTCCTTCACATCCGGAGACCAAAATAACCAATTGGAGCCAAGTCCACATTCACGCCCTCGCTTCAGCGATTGGCCTCATCTCGACCAATCTAAGATCACACAAGTTCTTCCAGCCTGCACGGCAGCATGGTTGCGGAGCCTGAGTTCGTGGTACAAGCAACCCCTTGTTAAATTCCCTACAAGGGGAAATGGAAGAATAGCAAAGAGCTCTAAATTGTTCTGCAGTCTTCAAAGATGCTGCTGGGTCGTTGACGAAGATAATAAATTCCAGATTCCAGATAATGTTTGTGTCATTGGGAGCCATGCGGTGTATCTTCATCGATGGGCTCAGGGACAATATCACTTGAGCCTCGCCTGGCATGCCCTGGGGGGGCGTCCCCTCGGAAAACGCTGGAGGATGACACCCCCGTGGCCTTGGCAACTGGCAGCGAGCCATGGTACGCTTCTGCGTCCCCCAAGCGTGACATGGACAAATTGTTGTTGTTGTGCTTGTGGCGCCAGCTTCCAAACATGGCTTCATTCCATGAGCTGTGAGAGGAGGTCCGCATGGCCAAAGACTCTCCGAAATTCTCTTCCCGCACCACTTTGTGAGGATTCTCAAGGGCCTTCAATACGTGCCGCATACTGGGACGCTTGTGGGGTTTAGTATGGAGACAAGCGCGGGCAATTATTGCCATGGCCCAAACTTCTTCAAGCAAGTCTTCATCGACGATTAGAGAAGGGTCTACTAGTTTGGGTAAGGACTCCTTGTCGTGAACACTTATCAACGGAAGAGCCCACTCCAACCAAGCCTCGCTCCGGGGGTCCCCTGTTGACCCGCTTATGCCAAGTTTTCCGGACACAAGCTCCAATAGCACCTTTCCGAAGTTGTAGACATCAGAACTGGTTGAAACTGCTACACCTAAATTTGCGGTAGAGCAACTCATCAGAAAAAGTATCGTGGATTTTGTTTTTTCTTCTCAAATCTTAATCTAAATTAAGTTTTACAAATAAAATAAACTACACAAGCAGATTGATAAGAGTGTACTCAGAGAATAACTGACCCTACCCTGGTGAGTTCATACATGCATGTCTGAAGGATCTATGTAGAAATATCGGTAGCACAGTAGGTAAATCGCAGTCACGTATCTGAAAGGGTTCAGTAACAAGTCAAGTAGAACCCAAAGTAGCAATAAGTAATCTTCTGATCTCTCACCTGCATCTCCTTGGTCTGACGATCTGCTCCAGGTAAAACCACACCCACAAGCCAAGTAGTTAAAAACAATGTTCCTCATCGTTAGAGAACGGACTTGGATGCTGAGAAGCAGGTGAATATCGCTTCATATTCTTACAGAAAAAGGTTACTTCGGGTGGAATACACTCAACATGCCACTATTCTATTAGGGCATTTGATCAAACTAAAAAGCGGCCCTCGAATTGGTGTGCGTATTACAGTCCGTGAACATACTCAAGCAAATGTAGCACGCGAGAAGGAATTAGCAGACAAAAAGAAACTTGACAGAAAAGGCCATACAAATTGCAAAAGCATGTGTAATTCATGAGGTGCTAGAGGTACAAGGACTCACTGTGACAAGCCAAGCAAACGGGTGATTCGGCTAGGATGTGGGTCCCCATCTTGCACCCGGGCATCGCTCAAGCTCCCAAGCCGAACCTCAAACTTGTCATCCAGAAGGATACTGCTTGCCTTCACATCCCTGCAGAATTAACCAGAAAAAAAAATGAACTGAGGATTCCCCGAAAATGGATCTGAGGCTAGTCCTGAAGATACGAAATTACCCAATACTGATGTAAACGAGGAAAGAGAACACGTACCTGTGAACTATAGGCGGGGAGCATTCGGAGTGCAGATAGGAGAGAGCCTCCGCAACACCGATCGCAATCTTGAGGCGAGTGATCCAGTCCAAGCTCTGCAATACATCCTCACAAGGACCGGGACTGCCTTTCTTGTGCAGGGCAGAGGCCAGGTCTCCATTCGGTGTGTACTTGTAAACCAGAAACTTTTTGTCGTCGCGATCAAGGCAATGCCCCAGCAACAGCACAAGCCGCGTGTGGGACGCGCGTCCCAGCACTTCCAGCTCCTGGAGATACGTCTCCAATCTCACCTTGGTGAGATCTATCATCTTGATCGCTGCCATTGCCCCGCTCTCTAGAACCCCTCTATACAAATCCCCAGAGTGGCCATTGGAGATCAGGTTTCCGATGGCGAAGTTCTTCGTGGCTCTCTGCAGCTGCTCATATGTAAAGACCTCCCCCATCCGGCTAGTGGGGACGGCAGGAGCCGTAGCGCGAGCTGAACCGCCTCTAACACTGCCAACGCTACCATGAGTCCTACCCGATTCACCCTTCTTCTTGCCCCAGAATCCAAATCGAACGCAGCAAAAGATAATTGATGCGACCAGAAAGATCAAGCCCACACCACCGAGGACGCCAGATAGAATGGGAACCAGATGCTTGATCCCAGTTTTATTCCCGCCAGGAGAACCCTGAGAGGGTGGCTCCAGGACGGGGATTCCATTCGAGGCTGGAGGGGCAGTCGGCGCTCCAAATACTACACCCCGCTTGCCATAGAACCGCTGGCAGGTCCGGAGTGCATGCTGCCCTGGAGAACCAGTGAGACAATTCTTCTTCACCACGGCAGTGGGCAGAAGTCCCACTGGTAGGCTGCCATTGAAAAAATTGTGGGAAAGGTTCAGGGACTGAATGTTTCGAAGGGACACGAGCTCGTCAATAATGGGTCCGTAGAAGTAATTGTGAGAAATATCGACAATCGCAAGCGACTCGATAGAGCCCAACCCTGAGGATAAGAGACTTGTAATCCGGTTGCTTGAGACGTCTAGCACAACAAGTTCTTTCAAATCACCTATTGTTGATGGCAGCACCCCTTCTACTCGATTTTCCCGCAGGATGAGTGTGCGCAGCCCCGTGCATTGACTGATTTCAGGCGGAAATGCGTCGAAGAGGTTATTCTTCGCCAAGGATAAGAAGTTGAGGCTCTTCAGCTTCCCAAGGTCAGGGATTAATGCACCCGAGAAATTATTAGAGGACAAATCTAGCAGTGTCAAGCGGGAGAGGTTCCCCAGCTGTGACGGAAGGGGCCCCGTAAGCGCATTGTGCGACGCAATGAAGAATTGCGAGTTCAAGAGGTTGCCCACTGTTGTTGGTAACACCCCTGTGAGATTATTATAAGAAAGGTCTACATAAACTAAAGATGTGGCATTAAATAGGGATGGAGGAATTGGACCCTCCAGCTTGTTGTGCGACAGGTTAAGGGTCGTTAGGTTGACAATGTTGCCAACAGACTCCGGAATATATCCAGTAATGTTATTCACTGCAAGAGTCAGGACAGTCAAGCTTGACAAATTCCCCAGCGCGGGGGGCAAGGTCCCTTCCAACGCAGTCTCCGTGAGATCTAGAATTTGTAGGAATCTGAGGGTCGTGAACCAGTCCGGGAGTGCACGCCCCAAAGCAAACCCTGAAGCATTGAGCTCTCGCAAGTAGACCAATGCCTGGAGGCCATTCAAAACAGTGGAGAAGGGTTGATTGGACACTCTTTGAAGACCGCTCAGGTCGATACTATCAATGTGCTCGCCCGCACACTGCACCCCTTGCCACATTGTACAGGGATCCTCGGATGGAGGCCACGAGCTTCGTTGCACTTGCAACCCCATCCGAAGTTGTTGCATTGCCTGCGCCTCGCTATCCATCAGCGCCATAGTCACGATAAAACACTGATATGCCACGAGCGTGAAGGCCGCAGCCCACCACATCGTCCTGATCCTCATTTTGCAAGAATCTCTTAATGCTTTCTTCTTGCAAGTGTTCCCAAAGCCATACTCTAATGCAAGCGCGGCGACCTGCTCAAGGTCTAGTCCTCTGCAACCCTGATTAATCTCTTCAAAGCCGCAACATCCATATATGCCCTACAATGAACGCAAATTACTTTACTTCACTTGAAGCCTTTCTGTACCATTGAGTTCTCTCCCAGAGGAACCAGTTCCAGTAAATCGGTACTCCGAGCTCTAGAGATGAGGTACAATGCGAGCATTGTGACCCCTCTCGATGAAGACGGCATAACTAGACCTGCCGCGGAGTCGAGACCCTGCGAGTCACAATTCAGCGAGCATTACACTCAACAAGTCCAACAGCCACTGCATGGCCCGCTTTTCAGGCGCGGGGGCAATGAGAGCTACTCTCATAAACTGGCAGTTGAAGCAACAAACACCATGTCCAAAAACATAAAACAAAACAAACATTAAAAAATGAGCACAAAGGCTACGTTGAGAGCAGTTGTCACACCGCAACAACGAGTACACAACTCCTCCACATCAACCACCTCACCTGATAAACCTTAACACGACAAGTCCTCGCCTCCACTTTCTATCCACCTGCTCTGAATTCAAATCTCCACGCGCTCCTGACTCACAACTACCCGCTAAACCTCCTCCACCACCTCAGTACCCCCACACTGGACCCACAGTATCGACGACCTCAAAGCTCCACGCTCCACGTCCCGCCCAAAATGACCAAACCATGTGAACACACATTTATGCATGTGCCAACCAAAGGGATACGCAATTACCCGCTCCACCTGCAAACTACTCGATACGCTCCGCTAGCAACAACATACCCACTCTCACACACACACACACTGCAACTCTGCTAAGCAGGATTACAGCTCCATTCCTAGCCGCCGAAGCGTGTCACCCTATGCACCCACATTGCCTCTACCAATGCTTCTGCACCGTATTGGCCATCATTCTAGTCCCGCATTCTCATCTCCCAACAAGACGGTCGCTTCCCAGAGGCCCAATCTACTGGGTCTTGCTTAGTCCCACCCAGTGCGGTGGCGAGACGAGATGAGACAAGGCATAGGAGCCGAAAGCAAGCAAACGAGGAGAGAAAACAAGTAACTAAGGAGGTGAGGGGGGTGGTGTCAGAGCAGCGCAGGGAGGGGGTGAGAGGTAAAGAGGTAACGACGCTGATCAGGGCCATAAATGGCATTCAAGGCATTCCAAGCACTGCGCCACCAATGCAGGGACAAGTGCGCCTTATTTAAACAATTAGCGATCAATGGCTTATTTTCGGCGAACTAAACTCCTTTGACTCATAATTGCATTTGGAAAAACAAGAAAAAAATAAAAATAAAAATAAAACTTGTTGGGGGTGTGGAAAATTGCCTGAGAAAACATACTCTTGCTACAGGTCTAGACTTTAGTAGGTGTTGTGTATCCTCAACTCTTTCCTTCGTCTGAAGGATTTCAGTGTTAAATTCGGGCGTGAGGATTTAGAAAATGGGTCTTCGTGATCATCATCGAAGATTAATATAGTTTTGCTTTGTCATGTTTGTATATCCGATGCAAACTGATTAGTCGAAAGAATGATTTTTTATTTTTTATGCAAGGCCCTTATTAGGTTGCTGCAGCAGCATAGGTTATAATATGCCTCTGTGTGTTAAACTATGGCTAATGTTTTATTATTTTTCATGTAATATGATAATGTGTTGTGTCTTGTTCTAATTTTTCTTTTACAAAATTTAAACCTTGCACAAAGTTTTATTATAAAATGACGTGGTCGTTTTATCACGACAAACAATGAAAACTTTGTGGATGAATTTCTTTTACATAAACATGTGTCTTCATCTTTTGTGCACTTAACTTGAGTATGTCAAAAGAAGTTTAGCCAATTTCCAGTGTTGCAACTTTTAGTCAATTCATAAGTATATGATAATAACATATTTTACTATCACCACCTATAATAAATGAATGTTATAGAAAATGACTATGTTTATTTGTAGGGTCTGTTATCAATTTTGCTTCATGAATTGTGCCAAATCCTTCATGGTTGATTCTTATTTTAAACGACTCCAGAATTTTATTGTTGTGATCTTCTCATCAAGCACCACAACTATGTTTGGATATGGTTAGTGTGAAGGATTTTTTAGTTAGTTGTATTTGGGATCTTACAGTGCAATAGATCCTTGGGGATCAGCAGTAACCCCGTAAATTTCATTGAAAAGTGGAGCAGGAATAGGAACGTGAACGAGATTTTGGACTCTTTTTGTAAAATATTTTTAGACCGAGAAGAAAAGAAAAGAAAAACAAGTTTAGTTAGTGTGCCGAGAGTTGATTAAAAGTAGAATGAAATTTAATTCGTTTGTCAAGATACCTTGCTCTTATCCAATAAAATCCCCAAAACTGTTCAGAAAAATCATGAAGGAGACAAAGACCTATTGCGAATTTAATAATATGCTTCAATATACATATTATAAAAAAAAATTAAGTAACATGGTACAATATCTGCAGTCATGGCTCACTGAAGCAAAACATTGTGGGCTGAAGAGACTTTGAAGTTGCTACAGTTTTTCAACACTGAGTTGGCCACACACACATATGTATGCATCTTTACAATCTCCAAAGTTAAATGAGCAAATATAATTTTAACTGTTATAAGTTAGTTGAATTTTTTAGGGAATCCACCAAGGTGTCTAGTTGGTCAGGCCTTCAATCTTGGGATCATGAAATTTCTTATGTTCCTTTGAGTCTTGTTTGTATTCATGAAAGTAAATAACAGTATCAAAAATCTAATCACAAGTTATTTAAAACATACCGGTGTACATATTATGTAAATATGTTTTTTTGTCATGTGTCTTCAGCAGCAAACAATGTTGTCTAGGTATTGACAGTTGATACAATACATGTGTCATTTAAAAGTGTTTCTTAAGAGTTGTTTCTAATTATGGCTTCCTTTTTTTTGTCTCATTTCTTCTTCTTTTTTCTTTTCCTTTATTATATTTATTTAATGATTCATAATGACATGCTCTGTGATAATGAATGACTTTGTTGATTACAAATCTACATAGATTTGAAAATTGAACCCTATGGCTTGTTGCTGAAAAGTAACATATACTCATTAGAAATGATTTCTTATTTCTCTTTAGAAAGTTCATAATGGAATGAGCTCATAAAGTGTGACACCTGATTTTACTAACAGATTCTTCAAAATGTGAAGGATTGCAGGGGTTCAGCACACTAGGAGGTTTATTTATATCAGAAATATTGTGGTCAAGGCACTTTTGAATGAGGATACATCCTTTTTGTCATTTACTGCTACTTGCCTTGATTTGCTTTATGAAATGATATGCACATTTTGTGAATTCCAAGTCCAGATTCTAAAATAATAAAGTCTATCTTTCATGTATACTTGCCTTTCCCCTAGGATGCACCAATCTTTGTAGGAAGCTCATTCCACTATCAGTAGTTTATTCTTAATTTCAACCTGGTGAATTCCACTTACAATATTTCAAAATTTTCATTCACATTCACACACACACACTTTAACATGTATGTATATGTATATATATATATATATATATATATATTCATTGATTGATTAAAATCTCTTCCTATTTGTTTCACATCCACAAGGTCTCCAAATTCATATGATAATGAGTGGTAACATTTGCTTTTTGTACATCAGTTAGACATTGGATTTAGATGCTTCAGAAAGTTAGAGTCATGTCAGTTGTGACTGAGGACGAGTTGTTCATTGTGTTGCATTTCAATTATAAATCCAACACCTAAATAATAAATTAAGGGCAAAATTCCATGGGATGCTCGACCTAGTGCAGCCAAATTCCTAGTGTAGCTTACATACAGAAGAAATACTCCTTTCTTTCCTTATATTTGTTTGGTTGTTTTATTTTGTTTCCTTCCATGGTTTTCATGCATTTAATGATTTTGATTTCAACTTCTTGCAATATGACAGTATCTCTAAAATCTACATGTTAAAAAATTGACACTTTTGTCGATGATTTTATGACTTAATGAGTTATGCTCCATCAATGTGCATGGAACATAAGGGACTCTGTATTCATAGCAAACCCTCGAGGAGAACATTTGTGAATTTTCCATATTGAATAAAAAGAATAAAAGCATATAATTTAAACAGATATTCCGAATATTAACAAGAATCACTGAAACCTCATGAAAATTGAGCTCCTTTGTCACCCTAACAATAAACCTTCCAACATTGCAATGCTTGCAAAATCACAGCCAGAGGTTACAAAAAGGACGCATTGAACAAACGATTGATTGTGCGAGGCACCCATTTAATACAGCATCACGAGAAAACTGAGCCAAATTTACCCCCAAATAACTACACATCTATTATTCTCCCATGCATAGCGCGAGAGCTCTGCGGTCACCGGTCGTTAGACATGGTCACTGGTAACCAAATGAACCCTACGACCATGGTACCCACAAACAAGGCATGCCGCTGCCGTCACCTCCTTCCGTTACCGCCGTGAGACGCCGCTGTCTCGGGGAAGCATGAGTGAGCTCAGCCGATGATGTCGCTTCTTTGCGGGAATCGGACGGAAGGAATCTCGTGGAATCAGTCCTTCGACTCCCACCAAGTGCCGTGGTCCCGAAGTCCGCTTCGAAGGGTGTGATTCAAATCAGGCGCGCACCCACAATCTCCCCTGCCTTGTCCCATAAACTAGAGGCTTCCTCACGATGAATGCCCGCATCTTCTATCTATAAATATGTGCATTTCTTTCAATAGGTCACTGGGTATTCGTTTATTCCTGATTGGACGTGTACCGTTTTTTAGTTATTTACAGTAAGTTTGGTGAGTGTGTTCTTGTGTTCGGGTTCTAGTTTTGACTGAGTTTTGACTTCGAGAGCTCGCGAGAGAGGGGGGAAGTGGGTAATTTGCGTGGGGAAGTTGCTTAAATTGCTCGTTGACTAGTTAGTCTGTCGCGTTTGAAGACAGTGAGTGAGGTGGGATGTTATTAATAATTGTTGTCTGTAGAGGTTTTTTTTTTTTTTTTTTTTTTTTTTTGTTTTGTTTTGTTTTTTTTCCTAATGGGGGATCATTGGACATGTGGTTTTAGGGTCGAAGTCCCCGGGGGGCTCTTTCCTCTGCCGAAAACTTGCTTGCTTGCTTGCTTTGAGGGCAAGATTGCTTTGGATGGATGTTATAGGTGGATGGATGTTGGAGTTGGATGGATGTTGTGGGTGGATGGATGTTGGAGTTGGATGGATGTTGTGGGTGGATGGATGTTGGAGTTGGATGGATGTTGGAGTTGGATGGATGTTGTGGATGGATGGATGTTGGAGTTGGATGGATGTTGTGGGTGGATGGATGTTGGAGTTGGATGGATGTTGTGGGTGGATGGATGTTGGAGTTGGATGGATGTTGTGGGTGGATGGATGTTGGAGTTGGATGGATGTTGTGGGGGGATGGATGTTGGAGTTGGATGGATGTTATAGGTGGATGGATGTTGGAGTTGGATGGATGTTGTGGGTGGATGGATGTTGGAGTTGGATGGATGTTGTGGATGGATGGATGTTGGGTGCATTTGTTGTGTGTCCACCACTACCACATTCTCACTTTGTTGTCTTTTAACCCATATGTTTCTATGCCTAAAACGAATGTGGGCTCCAACAGATAATTATTTTAATTTTTATATTTAATAATAAGATAAAAGATTGATGATTCCAAGCTACAAAGTTTGTTGAATTGTCTATTGCAATATATTCGTGTGTGTGTGTGTTTGTACATCTTATCTATAAGAAAATCCAACTGAATAGATTGGTTTAATTTTAAATATTTAATGTTTAATAAGAATGATTGAAGAAAAGAAATAATAAATTGTTATAGGAGTAGTAGTAAAATCAATAAGAAGAGGAATATTACGTGAAATATTCTTGTCAACAACCACTTCAGCACCTATTGTTTTAGCCTCTAATACTTCAATTTCTATTTGTATTCCAATTCCACCACCAAAAATCATGTTAAAAAAGATATAAAAGAAAACCCCCTTACAAACAACCTATGAATATAAAAAAAAAAATAAAAAATAAAAAAATGACAACACCAAATAGGCCAATATATATATATATTTGCATATTTTTATTTGTGAACCAAAATATATGATAAAATTTAC